AACACATAAATACAAAAATTTAAAATAGAATAAAAACGAATTAAATAATTTGTCTGAGACAAATTTAAAATACCCAATAATTTAAAAACAAATTAAAATTTACATTTAAAAGGGGAAAAGATTTAGGCCAGGTCAGCTTGATGAAATAAGAAAGACTTGAGCGCACAACGGAAGGTGCGCAGATCCGGGATCCTCCGTATCTCCGGGGGGAGCTCGTTCCAGATCGTAGGTGCCCCCACAGAGACATTGTTTGGCCGATGGCACCCGGAGGAGCCCCTCTCTATGGGAGCGTACTGGCCGGTGGGAGGCTATTGGTGGTAGCAGGCGGTCCCGTAGATAGATGAACTGTCGTAAGTCGAGGACTATCTGTAGCTGTTCCTGGGATTGCATTCTGCAAGTTAATGACATTATAATTCCTATTTCCCCTTAAACCGTGTTATAAATCTTCTGTAGTTATGAAATGATGCATGAAACAATGGAATAGGCTCCTGAACAGAATCTTCACATGCAGAAACGGCCTTGAACGCTCTAGATCAGGGATGTCAAACTTGATTTCATTGAGGGCCACGCCAGGGTTGTGTTTGACCTTGGGAGCCGGGATGGGTGTGGCCAGGGTGGGCGTGGTCAGCCTGATGTCACTTGTGTCAGGGGCGTCTGTAGTGGCCCGAGCACGCTGCCAGCGAAAACGGGCTCCTGAGCTCTCTTTTCAGCCGCCACGGCCTTCTGCCGGAGCTTGGGACAGCTCCGTTTTCACTGGCAGAGGGTGGCAGGAGGCCGTGGCGGCTGAAAACATCCTGGAGGGCTGCACACCGCCCTCCCGAGCTCCCGTTTTCACTGGCAGAGGCACCGCGGGCCAGTCCTTTGCTGTTTCTAGGGCGGCCCCACAAGCCAGATCTAAGCACCCTGCAGGCTGAATCCGGCCCCTGGCCTTGAGTTTGATTCCCCTGCTCTAGACAATTGGGCTTTTCCAAAGAAACTTTTTTCTTTTGGGGAAAAAATAATGCTTCTAGGGCTATAAAATAACAAACATGCATAACATTTCTCTCTGTAAATACAATCGCGGTAGGGATATTGGATGGAACACCCTGTGCCTGTGCTATTAATCTACACTGCGACCTAACAGGAATATTTTACTGGGGTTTTTTTCCAAACCGCAATTGCATTCGATACACTAATATTGAGTAAATCACAACAGGCCAAAGTCTGTTTCATGAACTATGATGGCTGGAGTCTCGGCGGGTGGGGGGGGGCATCAGCCAAAGCAAATCGGGACTTTGTGGTACCAGGGTCAGCTCGGAGGGCTGCTGGGGTTTTGCTATCCCTTCGGTAAGCGCATTCCTAGTTTTTTTGGAAGTCGTCTTCAGGCAGGAAGTGGCTTGTGGTGTGCAGACGTGGTGCAGAATAAATTGCATCTGTAACCCACAAGCTGCGTTCCAGATTTGCCTCTGGAAGAAAACTTGAGCCCACAGCTGGATGGCAGAAGGGAAGCCCTGGGTTTTGCAGTCAAGAGCCAGATTGGTCTACTGGTGATAGCACTAAACTAGAAACCAGGAGATGTGAGTTCTAGTCCCACTTTAGACAGTGACGGATTTCAAATTTTTTTTACTATCGGTTCTGTGGGTATGGCTTGGTGGGCGTGGCAGGGGAAGGCTACTGTAAAATCTCCATTCCCACCCCACTCCAGGGGAAGGATACTGTAAAATCTCCATTCCCTCCCCAATCCAGGGAAAGGATACTGCAAAATCCCCATTCCCTCCCCAATCCAGGGAAAGGATACTGCAAAATCCCCATTCCCTCCCGATCAGCTGGGACTTGGGAGGCAGAGAATAGATGGGGGTGGGGCCAGTCAGAAATTTTACTACCGGTTCTCCGAACTACCCAAAATTTCCACTACCGGTTCTCCAGAACTGGTCAGAACCTGCTGAAACCCACCTCTGGTGAGGGGTCCTTAGTGCTCTCTGAGCTTGGATGTTTTCTTGCAGGCGTTTCATTACACAAACTAGGTAATAGCAGCAAGAATCGCCGTATTTCAACCCTGAATGTTCTCTCTTACGAGTTTCATGCGAATTATCAATCAATCAAACCAATATATGGGGTTGCTACAAAGAAGAGGAAAAGCACCTGAAGGCAGGATGAGAAGCAGTGAGTGGAAACTAATCAAGGAGAGAAACAACCTAGAACTAAGGAGAAATTTCCTGACGGAGAACAATTCATCAGCGGAACAACTTGCCTCCAGAAGTTGTGAATGCTCCAACACTGGAAGTTTTTAAGATGTTGGAAAACCTTTTGTCTGAAGTGGTGTAGGGTTTCCTGCCTGAGCAGGGGGTTGGATTAGAACAGTGGGTCTCAATCTTCCTAATGCCGCGACCCTTTAATACAGTTCCTCATGTTGTGATGACCCCCAACCATAAAGTTATTCCATTGACAATTGAAAATATGTGTTTTCCGATGGTCTTAGGCGACCCCTATGAAAGGGTTGTTCGACCCCCAAAGGGGTCCCGGCCCACAGGTTGAGAACCACTGGACTAGAAGATCTCCAAAGTCCCTTCCAACCCTTATTCTATTGTAATCAATCCATCCATCCATCAATCAAGGAACCAGGATTCCTTGACCAAGATTGGCTGAGCAAATTTTGGGAAGGGCGCCAGGACATAAAACCTAGAGTTGGAAGGGATCTATGGAGGACTTCTAGTCCAACCCCCTCTGCTCGCGCAGGAGATCCTGAGATCGGGGCTGGCTTGGCTGCGCGCCCTTAGCTCCCCAAGCCCTCACCGTCCAGCCGGGAGAGGGCGCGGCCGCAGCGGGCAGGGGGAAGCGGTTGCCTCGCCCTCACCTGCCGCCAGGTGGAAGCAGCCGCGGGACGGAGGCCGGAGTTGATCTCCTGGAGGCTTCCCCTCCCTCCCACCCACCCACCCTCGGCGATCCGGGACGGGACGGGGCGGGGCCGGCGAGGCCAACACGCAGACAACCAGGCTCGGGCGCACTCGGTGCTGCCGGTTTGGCTGTAAGCGGAGCGCTGGCTGGAACGCCGAAGGCTGCCTGCTCCTTGCAACCTTGCGACGTGGAGGCGGACGGACGGGGGGTCCCGGCACTGCCGCCTCCCCCAGCTTGCAGCTCCCCCCGCCCCAGTCCCGGCGTCCCCCCTTTGGAGGTCAACCCGCGCGCCCTGCAGCTCCCCTCTTTCCGCCTCTCCACCCCGGCGGACTCGGCCATGGACGGCAGAGAGGACGGCCGCGCAGCTTTCGTCGAAGCCCGCCGGTGGGTCGAGGTAAGACGCCGGTGGGAAGGAACCAAGGAGGCGCGCAGCCTGAAAGCGCAGCAACGGGGCTCCGGGAGGGTCTTAGGAGCTTCCTACCTACCCTGCGGCTGTCGGGGTGGGGTGGGGTAGGGTGGAGATGCTGACCTCGGCTTGGCGCTTTCCCCACCGCCTCCGTCGTTTTGCTGCCTCCAGCCTCGGAGCAACCTCCGAGTAAGCTCTGCGCAAGCAGTTCAGGATGGGGAAGGACGACGGAGGGGGTCCTGGGGGGAAAGCCGTCTCTTTGGGCGCCCTCTGGGGTGGGGTTGGGGGTGGAAGGAAGCCCACTGGTGCCTCTTTCCCTTTGGGGGGGGGGGTCCCTTGTTGAAAAGAGGAGTGAGCAGTGAGCTGCCCTCCCTCCTGGAAAAAGTCTCTTGTAGCACACAAGGCTACCCCCAAACTTTTGACTCGGGTCTGGGGGTACCCTAGTGAAACCCTGAAGACCCCCCCCCTCCACCCTTCTCAGAGATCAGGCAATGGTGAACAGAGATCCTTCTTTGTAGCCAGCAACCTCTTGTCACCCTGTGATGGATGCCACAAAGCTTATAAAATACCGAGGATGCTTAGGGGGTGGGGGTGGGGTGGCATTTATGTGCCTCCAGAGCATTTGCCCCCAAAAGGCTCAACTTTTCTCTCCTGAGCAATAAAGAGCCGGAGGGAAGGGAAAGGATATGGGGCAGGGTCGATAGTAGCTGCCTTGAGGTTGTCTCAGCATGCAGGTCTTTTAAGCCCCTGCTCCGAAATCTACCCAACAAGGCTCATTTATTTATTTATTTAGAAGATTTATTCCGCCGCTCGCTTGCTCGCTCTCCGAGTGACTTACCAACAGTAAAAGTTTGTTAAAAAAAAAAAAAAATTTGTAAAAAAACAATAGAAGTTGTGAATGCTCCAACACTGGAAGTTTTTAAAGAAGAGATTAGATAACCATTTGTCTGAAGTGGTGTAGGGTTTCCTGCCTGAACAGGGGGTTGGACTAGAAGACCTCCAAGGTCCCTTCCAACTCCGTTATTCTAATTTCTAAAAAAAAAAAGCTCAATACCAGTAGTCCTCGTCTTACGACCTCAATGAGCCCCGAAATTTCGGTTGTTAAGTGAGATGCGTGTGAAGTGAGTGCTTGGCCAACGTTGTACCACCTTTCTTGCCTCTGTTGTTAAGCGAAACACTGCAGGGGTTAAAATAGTAACGCAGCTGTGAAGTGAATCTGGCTTCTCTGTTGACTTTGCCTGTATCTGAATTTACGGATCACGTCGCCCTGGGGCTGCTGCAACAGTTCTATGAAAACCGGTCAATGCTGCAGTTGATTTGTTAAGTGGGTTTTGTCCCGTTTTACGACCTTTCTTGCCACCATCGCTAAGTGAATTACTGTGGTTGTTCAGTTAGTTGCACGGTTGTTAAATGAATCGGGCTTCCCCCATTGACTTTGCTTGTCAGAAAGTCGCAAAAGGGGTTCCTGTGACTGCCCCCCCCCCCCAGGGACACAGCAAGGGTCATAACTATGAACCGCTGGCCAAGCTGGTTTTGAATTTTGATCACGTGACTCTGGGGAATGCTGCAATGGTCCTAAGTGTGAAAAACGGTCGTAATTCCCTTTTTTTCAGGGCCGTTGTAACTTCTCATCCAAGAAGCTTCTTCAGCTCTGACTGGATGGTGGGGAATGGAAGGATTTATCCTCCTTGCAGACAGCTGGCTGTTGGCATCCTTTTAGAGGGTCGTGGAGGCCACTTGGAGGTTTGTTTTGTGTCCTCAAGATCACCTGAATAGTGCAAATGGTTCCTGTAGTCTGCCATTTTTCCTCTGGAAATCCATTCCTATTCCCACACCATTCCAAAGATGTCCACCCAAATTGTATAGCTAAAAGTCTGTATAGATTGTCAGTCCATTCACGTCATGGTTGTCCCCAATGTGCTTTTTCAGGACTTTTTTGTTTTTTTCTTTTGAAGACGTTTTGCTTCTCATCCAAGAAGCTTCTTCAGCTCTGACAGGATAGTTGGGGAATGGAGAGGACAGGAGATGCCCAACATTCCTTGCCTCCCTACTCTAGTGGGTAGGGTGGATGCATCTGGAAGCGACACTGTCTCAGATAACCCTACCCCAACAGGTTGTCCTGTTGATGTGATGGACCTGTAATTGATGCTTGATAGAGAACCTTTGGGAATCAGGAAGAGTCCTCAAAACCACCTGATTAACAAGTTCCGTTTGAGAAGGAAATGTAACAGTGAAAGAGTTACTAATGTTGGGAAAGATTGAGGGCAAAAGAAGAACGGGATGACGGAGAACGAGGTGGCTGGATGGAGTCACTGAAGCAGTAAGCGTGAGCTTAAATGGACTCCAGAGGATGGTAGAGGACAGGAAGGCCTGGAAGAACGTTGTCCATGGGGTCATGATGGGCCGGACACGACTTCCCAACTAACAACAACAAAAAACAGAGTTGGAAGGGACCTTGGAGGTCATCTAGTCCAACCCCCTCCTCCTGCAGAGGAGACCTGTACTAGGGATTTGAACTGGCGAACTGCTGACCTTCCTGATCGACAAGCTCAGTGTCTTAGTCACTGAGCCACCAATCAGGTTAATTTCATCACAGGCCTGGTGGTCATTGGCTTGCTTTGAAGCAATTTCTCATCTCGTCCCGCTAAGCCCTGAACAAGATTATCGCAAACTTTGGAAGCTACAGGGTGCAGTTTTCTGACAAAAAAAATAATAGATCTGAAGATATTTTCTCTAGGGTTTTTTTTCTGGTTTTTTTTTTTTTGTGTGTGTGTGTTTGAGAAGTGGATCTTCTGGAATTTTAAGTACAGCTCTTGTCCCTTAGCCTGTTTTGGCAAGCCGAGCTCTCGACAAATAAAGTTTGTATTTATGGTCTCTGGCTGGGAAGCGCAGATCCAGGCTTCCTACGTTGCTGCCGCCGCCACAGGTGTGCTGGGAACCAGACTGCACCATTAAATTCCAATCACGGCCAGTATTTCCAAGAGGAAATGGCAGCTTCCTGGAGAATGTTTTGGCCTGAGGTGAAAACTTTCCTTGACAAGGGAAGGCATTTCCCAAGACTGCGGAGAGGGGAAATCCCATCCTTCTGCTCTTAAACTGCGTCTGGATTCCTGAGAGAAGCTTGTTGGGGCCAACTTTTCTTAAATGGCTCTCTTGTAATCTAAGATCTGTTGGGACTGCAACTAACAGAATGTGGGAAACTGGACTGAATCAGAATCAGAATAGATCTGGAAGGGACCTTGGAGGTCTTTTAGTCCAACTCCTTGCTCAAACAGGAGACCCTGGGCCAGGGCTCTGCAACCTTAAACATTCAAAAGAGCCATTTGGACCCCACAGAAAAGAAAACACCGGGAGCCACAAAACCTGGATGGGCGTGGCCAACTCAACGTCACTCACTTCCACCAGTCACATGACTCCCCCAGCCACACCTACCCAGCCAGTCATTAGGGCAGAGAACCGGTTGTTAAAAAATACCGGGAACCACAAAACCTTTTGGACATCTCTCTCACCCTCCCTCCCCCGTCCCTCTCTCCCGCTCTTCCCACCTCTCTCTCTGTATCTCTCTATGTCTCTCTCTCTCCCCGTCTCTCTGTACCTCTCTGCCCCGGCCATTTCTCCATCATCCGCTGTCGCCCTTACCTTCTCAGGCCAGGCGAGGAGTGACTGGGTGGGGAGGGCAAGGGGCAGGGCCAGTCAATGGTGGGATCACCTGACAGGGAACCACAACAGGGGCCCCAAAGAGCCACATATGGCTCCGGAGCCACAGGTTGCCGATATCTGCCCTGGGCTTATTCCATTTCAGACAAATAGCTCTCCAAACTTTTCTTAAAAGTCTCCAGTGATGGAGCACCCACAACTTCTGAAGGCAAGCTCTTCAACTGGTTAATTGTCCTCACTGTTAGGGATTTTCTCCTTAGATCTAGGTTGCTTCTCTCCTTGATTAGTTTCCATCCATTGTTTCTTGTTTTGCCTTCAGAAGCTTTGGAAAATTGGTTGAACCCCTCTTCTTTGCGGCAGCCCCTCAAATATTGGAAGAGCCTAAACGAAATCTGAACATGTTAAGCAGCCACAACTTCTGAAGGCAAGCTGTTTTGCTGGTTAATTTTTCTCACTGTTAGGAATCAGAATAGAGCTGGAAGGGACATTGGAGGTCTTCTAGATCTAGTCCAACCCTTTGCTTAAGCAGGAGACCCTATTCCATTTCAGACAAGTGGCTGTCCAGTCTCTTCCTAAAAGCTTCCAGTGATGGAGCATTCACAACTTCTGAAGGCAAAAACTGTTTCACTGGTTAATTGTCCTCACTGTTAGGAAGTTTCTCCTTAATTCCAGGTTGCTTCTCTTCCTTGATTAGATTCCATCCATTGTTTCTTGTCTTGCTTTCTGGTCCTTTGGAAAATAAATTGACCCCCTCTTCTTTGTGGCAACCCCTCAAATACTGGAATACTGCTATCATCTCATACCTGGTCCTGCTTTTCTCTAGACTAACCATACTCAAATCCTGCACCCGTTCTTCATATGTTTTAGTCTCCAGACCTTTTATCTCTCTACATGGGGCTCCCCTTGAGGAGCACCCGGAGGCTCCAACTGGCGCAGAGTGCGGCTGCGCGGGTGGTTATGGGAGCAACATGGCGCTTCCGTGTGACACCTCTCCTGCGCAAGCTGCACTGGCTCCTGGTGGTCTTCCAGGTGCGCTTCAAGGTTTTGGTCACCACCTTTAGAGCTCTCCATGGCTTAGGACCTGGTTATTTACAGGACTGCCTACTACCACCAATAGCCTCCCACCGGCCGGTACGCTCTCATAGAGGGGCTCCTCCGGCTGCCGTCAGCTAAACAATGTCGACTGGCAGCCCCCAGGGGGAGAGCCTTCTCTGTGGGGGCACCCACTATCTGGAATGAGCTCCCCCCAGAGATACGGAGGATCCCGGATCTACGCGCTTTCCGCCGTGCTCTTAAGATTCTCCTATTCCAGCAAGCCGGCCTGGCCTAATTTTCTCCCGTTTTAAAATTCTTTTAAATCGAAATTTTAATCTGTTTTAAATTATTGGGGTTTTTTAATTGTCTCGGGCTAAATTATTTAATATGGTTTTAATTATGTCTTTCAACTTTTGTATCTATGTATTTTATTTTGTGCCTGTTTACCGCCCTGAGTCCTTCGGGAGTAGGGTGGTATATAAATCTAATAAAACAAACAAACAAACTATCATCTTAGAGATTGGGAGAAAACTGAGCCAGAACTTCTCAAAGGGATAGCAGGGATGCTTGTCTTCCAAGTAAGTGGTACAGAATATAATTTCTCACAGTCGCATCAGACTGGCACTTTGTGAGTCTAGCAGTTAAAGTTACTGAAACTTAACAGTTGTCGTCAGAAATCAGCCAGTAATGAAAATCAGCTCTTCTTTCTGAGAGCAGCTAATTGGATGTCTCAGTATAAAACTCTTTCCGTTGTTTTTCTGCTGATACAAACTTCTCTTCAATTTAAAGGATTGATTTATCCATCACGGCTAATGCCGCTTAATAGGCTTATTCTCGTTAAATCTTTTCCCATCTTATAGAAGTCACCAGACTGACTGCTGTGCCTTACGCCACGTTCTGCGATTTTCTCCTTAAAGGAGAATATTTGCAGCTCGGGGTTGAAACGAAGGGTCCCTGAGGCTCTCTGAGCTTGATGGTTTTCTTACAGACATTTCTTTAACCAAACTAGGTAACATCATCAGTGCTTAGCTAGTTTGGGTAATGAAACGCCTGCAGGAAAGCAATCAAGCTTAGAGAGCACCAAGGACCCTACAGTTCTGAGATAATGAACTCTTTTCTTAAAAGGAAAAGGCCTTCGTCCTGGGACTTTCTCAGTGCATTGGAGCTTTTGGAGAAAGTGACTTAGGATGGCAGTGGGAATGCCCAAGAAAAAGGGATCTAGATGAAGGAAGCAAATGAAAAATAGAAATACTGATCATCATCGTCATCTTCTTTTAACGACCCCATAATCCCTTGTGGAGTGGAGTCTGGGCAACTGAATGGAGCTAGCAGAGTGTTTTAATGACCAGATACCTTTCCTGTCGCCAATGCAGAGTTTTGTTCAGCAGATATATTCTCATCGTGCCCAGAGCGAGAAATATCTGCCTCTACCTAGGATTGAACTCACAGCCTCCTGATTGTGAGGCGATTGTGTCCACCTCTAGGCCACCGCACCACTCCAAACATAAGAGATACTGATGCTAAGAAGGAAACCAGGCTTGGACAGGCTCGTCCTCCCCTGAAAAACCTGGCTTGTAGGCAGAAAGAATCCCTTGATTTTGATTTGCTATGTATGGATGGGAGCTGGACTGAGACCTGCCCTTTGGACAATTGTGCCTCATGTACTAGCCATCACCTGGTTGATGGTTGAACTTGACAGAGGTTGTCTGCCCCTTTCCTATATCGCTCCTTAAGATCTCCTGGGAGTTGTGTCTTCGGGGCTCTAATTGAAAAAAAAAGTGTCCAGAAGCTGAATGTAATGCAAAACTCAACTGCAAAGCAAGGGGCAGGTATCTTACTTTGAAAAGTTGGCTCTGGGTGCCAGTTACTTAGCATTTAATTGCTCTGAGCCATGATGGCACAGTGGTTAGAATGCAGTGTTGCAGGTCGATTCTGCCCACTGCCAGGGTTCGATCCTGACCGGCTCAAGGTTGACTCAGCTTTCCATCCTTCCGAGGTCAGTAAAATGAGGATCCAGATTGTTGGGGGCAATATGTTGGAAGGATGGAAGG